CTCTCTCTCTCTCTCTCTCTAACTCTCGAAGGATGGAAGGAAAGAAGGAATTATTTTTCACTTGAAAACGACGACCTTACTGAAATTCGCGATGATTTTGCTCTGTCACAAGCGTAGATTCGAATCGATTCAACGAATCATTCCAGAATCCAGAAGGAAAATTAATATCCCGATATATTTATTCGTGTACGAGATTATTTCCATTCGAGATATATATATATTCATCGTGCTTTTTAAATCTACCGAGAAGAAAAATTTAACTGAATTCGAGATATTAGTTATGGGTCATGAAATAACTATTAAGAATAATTTTCCGATATTTCGAAAAATACGATATTAAATACTTAATAATATACCGTTTTGTTTTATATTTTCTTTTATTCCCTCCCCACCCCATGATCATAATATAAATTCGAATAAGAAATATTCTTATAATCAATACTTGTAATTTGTAATGAATAATTTTCATAATATTTTAACAATAAATGTAACAAATAAATATACGAGTATTTTAACAACACAGTATCGTTAAATAAAATATTTTTCATTTAAAATTCAAACATTATACTCGTAGTATGTATCATTTCTTTTCTATCGTTTTACATTTCGAATGAATATCATTTTTTTTGGATAATATATTAATATTATTTTTTTTCAAACAATTAATTCTATTGATAGAAAATAATCTCTCAGCATTATCAATATTATAATAATATAACCGTGTTATTATTAATTAAAATTGAAAATAAAACGAAACAAAATTTCGACTGTGATAAAACGAGATTGTCAAATAATTGACACGATATAATATATATTACAATATTTATTTTACAAAATATCTCCACGTAAATATGAATAATTAAATTAATAATGATTTTGAAATGATTACAATTTAAAATGATATTAATCATTTATATAAATCAATGTCGCCAATAGTAAGCCGTTATTATCCGATGTGGGAAAGCCGACTAACGATTTCATACAACCGGGTGAACAAATTACGCTCATATTCGCGGATAGTGGTAGAAAAATTGATCGCACCAAATTACCATACCATTTCTCGGCCCATGTAAGCTTTATATTACATAAAGGTACGTTAAAACTTACCGCAAACTTTGCACGCGATCTCTTCAATTCTTCACACTTTCGCGAAAGGAAACGTTCCTCTGCTCTCTCTCACTCTCTCTTTCTTTCTTTCTCTCTTTCTTTATGATCGGAACGATTATTTTAACGTTATACCGGGTGAAAGGTGTTTTCAAAAACATTCTACTCGAATAAACTCGATTACTATTGACGATACAAACAAATGTCTCCGATAAGAAAATTTACTTCATTTCCGTGACAATCATAATCCAAAGTTTAATAGTTTCCTTTTTTTTTTTTTTTTATTTCTAACATAATACTCCTAGAGAGTATTTTTTCATATAAATTCGCAGGTTTATCGTTTAATAGTATACGATTTCTATATGAATTAGGGTTGTATCAGAGTTTTCTATTTTACATACGAGAAATTCATATGAGTCTCTAATAATCAAAGGATATATTTCGTATTTTGTTGATATAATTATTTTATTTTATTTATTATCTAACGTGTAAAGAACGTTTTAAAAAAAAGAAATGATTTTACATTTATATATATTATTTAATATATAATATATAAGATAAAAATGTACGCGCATTAATGAGAATCGAGTTGTTCGTATAATTTGTTAGAATAGTTACACCCGTTATAAAGATCCATACAACTTAGGGGTGTCATAAATTAAAGGAGAAAAAGATTTCGATCTCTCATGGACGCGCGGTAAATTTAAAACGTCACGTAACTTTAAATACGTAACGAGATTGGGTGATTCGCAAATCGCGTATGTCGACTTTCTTATCAACGTTGACACGTAATTGGGAATAAAATATAAAATGTTTGAAAAAGAAAAAAAAAAAGAAACAGAAAAAGGAGAAAAAATATTGAAAAGAAATGAGAAGCCTTTTTCTATTTCTTTTTCTTTCTTCTTTTTTTTTTTTTCGTTCGAAAAGGATAAAGAATAAAAGTACGGACGACGTTCGTCGTTGCTTTATGAGTTAAAGGGCTCGAAAATGTGAAAGGAAAAAATAAAAGGAAAAGGAAAAGAAAGTTTAGGGTGATCGTACCGTTAGCTAGGGCGAACGCAAATGTTGGCAGAACTTATAAGACTTAAAAGAACGATCCGAAGGAGCGAATGACGAGCTACTTTACTGAAAGGTTCCTCCGTTTAACAAATCCCACAGCTTTCAAAAGTTACGGATTAAGGGGAAATACGATAGAAATACCATAGATTTAGACTGTAAGAAAAATTCAACGAACATTTTTTCCTATTACAGATATTTTTTTATTATGCTTTTTCTTGTTTTTCGTATTCTTTCGTTCAATTTTATATATTCAGATTTATTATTTAAAAATAATCAAAGAAAAAATAAAGAATAACAATAAAGAGTTAAGCAACTTGCAAAAATCCTTATTTCCAATACACAAAACAAACCACACATATATATATGTATATATATTTTATCTATACGCACCAGATAGATCACACTTTATTGTTTTCATTAAATAATAACTACCAGATGGAAATTTTCTTTATGCTTTGTAAAATGAAAATAGAAATAAATGTTTGTTCGGTTATAGGAAAAGATGGAAAGAAGATTAGCAAAAAAAAAAAAAACAAGAAATAGAATATAAATAAATAACTAAATAAATAAATAAATAAATAAATAGGAATGAAAGGATAGGTCTCACCGAGTATATCGACGCAACCCAACTCGGATTTCATTGGGCTGGTGTTGATCTGGCACATGTAACAGTCCCTGTCGGACTCCTTTAGTTGACGAATGTGCAAACGCCACGTGCCGTTGACGACTTCCTCCGTAGCTTGGCTACTTCCTGTCACACCGAAGGCGCCGGACGTACCACCGGACCCAGAATTACTGCCGGTCTCATGAGATATCGAGATACGTGCATTGTGTGTCACCGTTCTCGTGTGTACCGTCAAAACCGTCTGGTCCGAGGCTCGTAACCATGCAACCTGTACACACACAAAAAAAAACGAAAAAAGACAAGAAACATATTACGTAAAATCAAATTCCTCTCTGATTGAACGAAAATAAATTCTCGTTATATTTTTTCTATATATTTAAATCGCGTTCCAGAAAAATTTGAACGATTTTTAACGATGACGTAAAATGTAATAATTAACTTGAGATTTGTAAAAAAGTTTATTATTATTATTATTAGAATAATATACGTTAAATGATATAAATTGGAATATTATGTGTAAAAATGTTTCACCAATTACGTGGTATTTTCACGTTAATATACAGGATGAATCAAAAGTAGATGGATAGTATACTACAACAAGATAAGATTTATATTTTATTTTATACGACGTTCTTCGTCTCTTCTCTTTCTTTTTTTTTTTAAAGGGAGAGAAGGAAGATAAAATTTTCATTACTTTTACATCGTATTATTTTATAAAATAAAACGTCTCTCTAATATAGTCGACGTAATATAATAATTCTTAATACATTATTCATTTCAAATGTTATCCTCTATTAAATATAATCTGAAAATAAATCTTATTATTTACTTTATCCAATACTTGAATTTTTGACTCACTCTGTATATTACGAAATAGCCTCCATTTCGTTATACGCGTAATTTATTTTCTTCCCGTTTTCGTACATAGGGAGTGACGTTACGTGGTATACCGTGCTCGTCGAAATGTCCTCTTTACCACGTAGAATGCATTGCATTTCATGAATTCCTCTTTCTCTCTCTTTCTCTCTCTCCCTCTCTCTCTCTATCCTGTTTCCTTTTCATATATATATATATATATATATGTGTGTATGTATAAATGAAAAGTACACACACGTGTTTTGCCTTTTGGACTATGGTGCGTTGCATCGCGCGTTGCGGTAAATAGTAAACTGCACTGTGTGTATATGTACCGGGGTATTATATTATATTACAATGAGAAATTTTAAGCGACGGTATTACGTTCATACGACACATTGTACACACGGTACGTTGTAATGTTACCGTGCGTACAAGATCCGTGGGTTAACCGTAAGTGGCTAATGCGAAACTAGTGTGCAATGTATTTAGATTCAAAAGGATGAAATAATGAGTTAAAAAGGGTTCCAACAACTTTCCACCGTGTTATAATCTACTTTTTATTTTTCTTTCTTTTCTTTTTTTTTTTTTTTTTTTTTTTTTTTTTTTTTTTTTGCGTTTTGTTGTTAACAGAATAACTTCGAGTAAGTATATAAAAAAAAGAGAAAAAAGGAAAAACAATTAAATATATATATATTTAAATAGAAAAATAATTATCTTTAGATATTACACCATACTACTCGCGAACAGGTTACCATAATCTTTACTTTATCCTACTCGACCTATAGAAATTATATCACCCTATGGAAAAATTGTCAACGATATCAACGATACAAGTGAATTCATATATATATATATCAAAAATGATTGTGTTTTGATAATAGATTGAAAATAAATTGAATTTCTATTCGCAGTTTATTCGCGATTCGAAATATTTCAAAACTTTGTACTTGCATTGCAATGCAATAATACATTTTGATAAAGGTAAAGAAATACGTGACGAAATATTTCGAACGGAACCTAACCGTCGTCATACCTAACGATGTATAACATTTATCTTTACTTTTTATCGTAAAAATATTATCGAGAAAGGAATTTTTGATCAGGATAAATAACGGGGTAGCGTGTAATTGTTAACCTACTTTTTCGATGTACTTTTCGTGCATTCCTCTGAAAACGTGCTCAACGACCGCCCGTCTCTACCAATGGTGGTGGTGGTGGGGTGGAGAGAGGGGGAGGGGTTAGAGGGAGTTTCCTTTTTAATCGTACGTACATGTTGAGTTCATGTAAAATGCGGTCAGCAAACTTTTGTATGAATCTTTCGAAAACTGACAGACAACCGGCATATACCTTTTACGAAGCTCACGGCAGTCTCTTAATTAACGTTTTATCGTTACTTTTCGCGATTGCCAGCAAAAGAGGATAGGAGGAGGAAGAGGAAGAGGAAGAGAAGAAGAAGGTAGAAGTTAAGAGAGAGGAGAAGAGGGAAAACGAGGGTATCCCATTTATTTTAGCTAACGTAAAAGTTCCCAGACAGGGTTATACATCCGTGACAGTAATAATCTGCCAAACTCGATTTTCGGAGGACAGTTTTGCGTTTTGTCAGGATAACCCTTCCTCTCTCTCTCTCTCTCTCTCTCTCTCTCTCTTATTCACATCTCTACGATACCTCCTCTGTGATTTTTAAATAAAGAAAAAGAACAAGAAAATATATCTACATTTATATATTAAAATTTGTGTCAAATGAAATTTACTTTCGTATGATGATAGTTGTGAAACGCATTGATTAAATTATTGAAGAGAAGTTTAAACACCGAATAATCGTGAGTGAGAATATTATATTATTCATAGAAATTCATACGAATTTCATTATAATATAATGATATTTTAATATTATAAAATATAATATTTATTATATTGTTTGATAATATAATAATATATTTTATTAATATATTATTTGATCGCGCGTATGAAATTTTGTTATTATTATTATTATTATTATTATTATATAAAAATTGGATATAAAAATGGTGTTTATTATTTTTTTCTTTTCATATTAAATATAAAGTATTCGTTTTCTATCAAGGATGGGGATCATTTGTTATAAAAAAAAGCTTCATTTTTCAATTGATGATAAAATATATAACTATGATATATATATATAGATATATGAGTAAAAGCACATACACGTTGGGAAGGATCGATGTCGAATTCTCCTCGTAGCTTTTCCTGGAGTGTACGAAGCTCGCACGGATCTACGAACGCGATATTAAACTTGATAATAACATTTTCACTACCACAATAGCGTACTTCTATTATTATATCGTTACGTATCGTAACGGAGCACGACATTATGAGATAATAGCGTACCGAGATAACCAACTTGTGTAATATGAAAAAGCCATACCAAATTATCCTTCAATACAACACACGTTATAGAAACATATCGTAATACTTTTTTTTTTATTTATATTTGAAATGATTAAATGAGGACTTAACGAATCGATGATTCGAATTTTCCTCAAATTTTGTTAAACTTATATAAAAAGAACTTTTGATTGCTATAACTTTTTCTTTTTCTATTTGTCTACAGTTATGAGTAACTATAAAATCAAGATAAATTTTCTCGTCTTTGATGCCTTTACGTTTCAACCAAACGAACTATTTCATTTGGAAAATACACAGAAAAAGGGAAACGTAAATTTAACAAGATGTACGTATATTTCTAAATAAACACATTTTTTTTTGTGACTTTTTAGATTGGATATTATAACGATTTATATTTATTATATATTTCACTCGATAATATTTTATATATA